GGCAAGTACTGAGAACTATCTTCATGCTCTACCATATCACCCTCATTCTCTAAATACAGATGACTGAGGGATTGGATAAGATCCTGAATTGGTTCTCGTCTGGTTGTGAAAGGTGCAGTGGAATAGTCTGATTCTGTAGGATTTTCACCCTCTGTTTCACTACATAAGTCAGCCATTCTGGGTCAGTTTCCCAACTAATACTGCACATGTAGTTTAATAACTCAATACAATTGCCCAATCATAAAGTTCAATGACACTTCTACGCATTCTACATAATGACTCATAAGTATCATTAGCCTGTTTAAAACCATTTCAGATTCATTCCAATCTTAAAATCTGGTTTCGGATCTTTTTTCCTTGTCCCTGTTTGGGTGCCAAATTGTGTAACACATCTACCTTTGTCTTTGGTGCAAATGCTACACGAAATGAGGGACCAAACAGACCAATCCTACTCATGAGTCAGGTGTATTAAATATAATTACCAAGCACATAAAAATACAATATGACACACACAATTGAGAGTTCAACAGTTAGAACCAGAGCATAAGACTAGTCCAGTATCCCAAAACAGAGCCCCTGGCTTGCAGTCACTTAGACCCATATACTTTGCTCAGTCTTTGTGGTAGAGGGTATAAAGTGAGAGCACAATCTTTGTTGAAACATGAAGTGTAGAAAAAAACAGTACTTGAATGCCCAGATGATTCCCCAGCAAAGATCAACTAGCAAAGTGATATTTGAAGTCCAGCGTTGCTTTTAAGCAGTCAGCTCTCCTAATTCCAGGTTTCTCAGATGTTTAAGCCACCAAATAATCCATATAGGCTCAGAACACAAACCCTCTGTAGACAAACATTTAAACAAACCATAACCATGTGCTACAAACCTTAGTTAACAAAACAAAATACCATAAACAATTACTTACGGATGAGCTTAGAACTATAAAGTTCCTCAAACAGGGTACAGAGTCTCAAACCACCATGAGGTAAGCTTCTCCAAAGAAGATAGAGAATTGACTTCCTGCCATTACTCCTTCTTTGCTACCTTAAATAGGTAAATTCATGCATTACTTTACCAGAGCGCCCCCTAATGCTCAGGTGAGTAGGGACAATAGTGCTCAAAGAGGATTTCTGGTACATAAGTAACAGGGAAACTG